ACAGTTAACTCTTAAAAATATCTAAAATACGTTTGTTGTCTAATCCACAATTAGGATTTGTACGGATACGGGTTCACTTAGCAGCGAGTGACATTTACAGTCTTTCTTCAACGGGATTTGTCGCCGGCTTATCCGTAGAGCTCCAAAAATTGCTGGGAATCCTCGCTTAAAATATCATGTGCAAGGTCAAAAATGGGATGCAAATTATCCGCGATTTTTCAAGGGTAAAAATTTGGTTCCTTCAGAGGTGTCATTGGTCGATTCTTTTGCGTTTATCGCCACGATTTTTGTCTTTGCCTTACAACGGAAGTAGCTCAAGTACGACGCTGATATTTTCTTTTAACTTTATGAACAATATGGGTGAAGGTCACGTATCAATCTCTGAAAGTTTTAACTTGCGCTTTACAGGGGCAGCCGAGATATTCAACCATCTTTGCGGCCGAGAGGGTAGGCGAGCGCGACAGGAAATCGCTTTTTCATCCGTATCTATGCGAGTTTCGTACGGAGAAAAATTATTTCTTTGTGGAAGCATTGCTGCCCATGGTAAACAGGTATGAAACTTTTATGTCATAATTTGCCAAAAATGGGGATTTTTATCCAATTTTGATCTAAAAATTCCGGCCGTTTCTACTTTTTGAAAAAATTTAAAACCATCAATCTTATGCAAATTTTTCGACAAAAAATGATGGAAATTTTCCCTCAATTTTTTACCACTATGCATTCTATTGAGGTTCAAGGTTTTTTCGAAAATTAATTGACAACCGGATGTTTTTTATGTCTTGGTCGAATTTAATTCAAAGTCCGCTCGTACTTTTGAGTTTGTAGCTAAGATTAACGAATCCTCCTCCTTACTGGTGGGTTCAATATGACATGGTTAGGCAATTGCTGTAATTTGCCTGTTAGAGACATGTCCTTTTTCTGCAAAAATTGGAGTTCACTCCAATTTCTGCCCGCGACGTTTGCGATAAAATTTCCAGCATGGCGCGAACAGTAACAAGGGAAGTGCCCCAAGTGCGACGCTCAGACTTTTTTTAAATTTTGTACGCGCGTTGGGCAAGGACTAAATATTGATTCCTAAAAGTTTTAACTCGCGCTTTGCAAGCGCCGTCGAGATATTGAACCATCTTTGCCGCAGAGAGGGTACGCTAAACGCGGAGAGCGGTCAGAGAGAGAAACACTTTTTGGCCATAACTTTGCTAGTTTCGTGCAGAAAAAATTGATTTTTTGTGGAAACGTTACCCCCTATAGTGGAAATAGGAATGAAACTTTTCGTGGCGAAATTCGACAGAAAATGTAAAATTTTCGCCAACTTTCCATCTAAAAATCTCAGTTGTTTCTGCAAAGCGCGAGCTAGGATTCTCGCATATATTTTTAAAAAATTTTTTTTAAATTTATGCCAAGTTTGATCAAAATCTGACCGACGCACTTGGGGTACTTCCCTTGTAAGAGGTAAAGAAAGTCGGGGCTAAGGTAGTACAACCCCCAGTCCAGTTTAGCCCCCATGACCCAGTACAACCCCCCCCCCCCCGTCCATTCTGAACCCCTAAATTTATTTCAAAGGATTAAACCAAGTTGTATGGTCCAGCACAAGCCCCCTACGTTTTAGATCAAGCCCCTCCGTTTTAGAAAAAGCCCCCTACGTTTTAGATCAAACCCCCAACGTAGTAGATCAAACCCCCACTTGAATTTTTTGTATTATTCTAATTTGTTCATTATGTGGGGTGTGAAACGGGCAAAACAGTGGGGGTTTGAACTACCTTTCGTGGGCGGGCTGAACTACCGAAGCCCCAGAAAGTCATGTTGCCTTTTTGTGGCAAAAACAACAGATTTTACGGCGCTATTCAGTTCACAAAGTCGCTGGACTGATCGCAGCGACTGCACTGTGTGAAAACAAAAGATAACTTTGCACTGTGAAATTTCTTGCTTTTTGCACCGTGCAATAAGATTTTTTGGGCTATCGCTCGCACCCTGAATTTTCCAGCGAGTGTATGTCGCCGAATTCTTTCCATTAAATACACGAACGGGTTAGTAGACCGTAAAATGATTACCATAAAATAAAAGGCACACTTCTGCATCCTTTGACTCCATTTTCGAACACTTCCGACCTCTAAGTCCTCCCCCAACCGCCCGCCAAATCTTTTTACACCTTCCAAATTCTGTTTTCCAAATTTACGACCCGGCCGGCCTTCGGTTTTTAAAAAATCCCACAAAAGCTGACGTTCTCTGTTCATTGAGATCATCTTTTCGGGAGGGCACTGGGCTCTTTCGAACCGTCTTTTTTTTGTTTCGAACCAATCACACTTTTTAAGAAGACAAAGAACATTGGAAAGCGTGCCGGATGGACTTGCTTAAGCCCTCCGAGGCTTATGTGTCCACTCATCAAGCGGATTGGGTTCAAATGTTTTGGTTCCTCAAAAAGTTGGGGGGTTAATAAGCTAATCCAAGGGCGAGCTGGATTTTTTTTGGGGTACTTTTGAGGTCAACTTGGGTGTATAAATATGGGAAGGGCGGTTGTCAAGGCCTTTTTGAAAGTTTTGAAAAGCTGCTGACGTTGGAGAAGGTTGGAAACTTACTTGCAAAACTATCTATGGGCCATACAGCGGGGGACCTAATCCAGTGGCAAATAACCTACCATTTTGCGTCCGGGAAGTATCAAAAATGTGGCAAAATGCTTCCCTCTCCAAGGGAAAAAACTTCATTTCGAAGAGCGCGCCCTCACAAGAAGAGAGGGCGCACTTTTGAAATCGGAGTTTTTTCACTTGGAGAGGGAGGTATTTTGCCACATTTTTTGATACTTCCTGGATGCAAAATGGAACCTTTTTTGCCATTGGATCAGGTCCCCCACTGTATGTGTATGCATAGTTTTTTTCTAAAAAAAAAACTCGACTTCGTATTTTGGCTGCTGAGATATCAGTCTATCGCGAAAATAATGAGCACTCTGCCACATCGAAAATCGCATCGCCGCCAAGAAAATGACTTGCGCGACGGTAATGCTTCTCACCTCAGCGGCACGGTCGGCGCAGCGGCGTTGGGCTCATTATTTTCCCAACAGACTAGTCTCAACGATCTCGGGAGGCGATTGAAAGGCCATAAGACGATGACAAAGCAGTTTTATGGCCATATCTTTCCAGATTGTAGGTTAAATAAAACACATAAGCTTTTCTTAGCTTTTCTTGCTAAAAATTATTTTCCAGCGGAAACCCACTTTCTTATCCGGATTAGCGCTATACATGCGGAGTTCCTGTCGTCTTATGTCATATACACCTCGAAAAAAGTCTTGGGAATTTATCGCAAAAAAAAACAAAAATGCCCTCTGCAAAATAGCCCAAATTTGGAACAATGTTTTCTAAAATATATGCGAGAATTCTAGATCGCGCTTTGCAGAAACAACAGAGATTTTTAGATCGAAAGTCGGCGAGAAATTAGAGACTTTTTGCCAATTTTCGGCACGAAAAGTTTCGTACCTATTTCTACCGTAAAGGGTAATATTTCCATAAAAAACCAATTTTTTCCGCACGAAACTAGCGAAGTTATGGCCAAAAAGTGTTTCTCTCTCTGACCGCTCTCCGCGTTTAGTGTACTCTTTTGGCCACAAAAATCGCTCGATATCTCGGCGGCGCCTGGAAAGCGCGAGCTAAATCTTTCAGGAATTAACACCTAGTCTATGCCCGATATGTGTGTAAAATTTAAAGAAAATCTGAGCGTCGCACTTCGGGTACTTCCTTTGTCAGTTTGACGTGTAACACTGATCTTACATCACCGTGTGCTCTCTCCTCAAAATCTGCAGAATAAATACGCAAAAAATATTTTTTTCCAACCCCTTTATTATTACTCCATTTCCGAGTACGAGACCAGGACACAAGTCCACTCCCTAACCTGACGTTCGCGATGTTTGTTTTCGATTACTTATCCCACCGCGAAATTGGGCGTGCAAATATAATGCACACGCTTGTCTTGAGCATTTCTCTTTGCAATTAAGTGCTTTCACACACTCGGCGTTAAGTTGGGGCTAACCTTTTCCGCTGGAAATCGCGCTGTCTTTCCCATGAGGTTTTCAATAAATTTTTTTGTCCTTGTCTAACAAAATTTCGTATTTGCAGACCTAACAATAAGTTAATTGAGTCGTTGAGAGAAGCGTTAGGTATAATAAATTGGTTAGTCTGTTGAAAACTGACTGTTGGAAAAATCAGCGATGATTGGCTTCTAAACGAAGTTTTTTCACTTGGAGAGGGAAGCATTTTGCCACATTTTTGATACTTTCCGGATGCAAAACGTTACGTTTTTTGCCAATGGATTAGGTCCCCCACTGGATCATGACGAGAGATTTTTCTTTGCCGCCCTTGTTTGTTACCCGAATATTTAAGCGCTGCTGTGATTAAATTTACTTTACTTTCTTCTTTCCGTGGACATTCTGAAACAGCATAACTATTGCTATTTTTGGACAAAGAACGGTTATTTTGGAAAATTATTGCAAAGAATTTTTTGCCGAAAACTCGATATTTTAACGGTTTTGATGCAAGAAGTCATTTTTGACGTAAGTGTTGTAGAAAAAAAACTTATTGATAGTCATGTGTACGGCAGCTTGTTTGTCGCAACGCTGTTATGGGAGATTCGGGGCTTTGGTAGTTCAAACCCCCACTGTCTTGCCCATTTTACACCCGGGTGAAATGGGGTCACCCCTTCCCCCCATAACAAAAAAATTATAATAATACAAAAAATGCAAATTTGAGCAAAATGTAAATTCTGAAACGATTTGTTCATTCTCCTTGTTCTTCTCCTTCGAAGCTGGTTGTCATGTCGGAAATATCGACGTTGGAGGGCTTGATCTAACAAAACGTAGGGTTGTAAAACTTGTAAAACTTTGTAAAACTTTTTCGTTGTAAAACGTAGGGAGCTTGACCTAAAACGTTCCTTCTCATCAAGCTTTCATTGACGCTTTCTGGAGCGCTGTTGCTGGATCTTACAACTTGGATTAATTCTTTGAGATAATTTTTGGGGGTTCAGAAAGGACGAGGGGGTTTGTACTGGGTGATGGGGGGGCTGAACTGAACTGGGGGTTGCACTACCTTAGCCTCGGAGATTCCAAGGCGCGGCGACCGGCGGCACTTTTCAGACGTTTCAATTTCACTAATCACATGCAAAAAAATCATGGAGTGAATCATAATGGTTTCCATTGTCCGGTCAGGGTAAGATCGCTCCATCTGAGGCCCAAGTTCTTGTCGATCCATCTCATCCTGAAGGGCCCAAACGGTAGTGCACAGGGGGATGTCGAATTCATGCTGATCACTTTCGTTTCCAACGATTTCTTGAATTGCTCCAATTTTCCCTCGTTTTGGATTGATCTAACATTGACAGTATGAACTTGAAATCCATTACGATGAACAGCTACTACCGGCGGCACGTCAATCCAAAATAGTATAACAAAAAATTTCCCGCCTCTTTTTGGTGATTCGTTCAAAACGAAATGCCACTATCCGATAAAAAAATCATTTTCTTATCTTTTTTCTTTCTTTTCGAGAAAAAGCAATTTTTTCGGGCGAGAAAAAGTGCCGATAATTTCGCGACATTTCGTCTCTCTTTTAAATCAATGAAAACGGTACGAAGTTTCGAAACGGTTCAGGAAATGCGCTGGATTGACGTGGGCCGCTATTTTCCCGACAGACTGATAAGGCAAAAAATAAACAAACATGCACGGTGCTAAAAGTGTTTTTAGCTCAAATACACTGTTCAAACACTTCTTTCGCGATTTTCTCGGCGACGCGCCAAAACACAAAAACCTGTGAAAAATTACCTGGAGTTTTTGCCTCGGGCAGTAGCTTTCTATCAACTTTTTAATTTTCAATCTCACAGTCAGAAGATGAAAAAGTTGGCCAGACTACAAGAACAGACTAAAGATCCCCAAAATTCCAAATTTCATGCATTTCCTTCATAACTTATTCCTGCCCTTCCCCGTCCTCCGACCTTTCTTACACAATAGACGGCCGACGTTCCGCTTTGTGATAAGGACATCCCGATTTAAATGTCATTTACATTATTTTCCAGCCATCAACCCGCGATCCCTGAGCATTCGTCTCTGAAGTTTATCGTTTCTGACTCACCGTGGCTCACTGGCAACTCCCCGGCCCCCCCCCCCTGTCGTGCCTCGAGTTCACGTGACCCTCCGCTCCACATAACTGATAAATTATTTTCGTTGCAACATCCCTCCGTAACAATGGGGGTGTAGAATATTATGACATAAAAATAGTTTCGGGTGGTTTCCTCAGCTCCCATTCCCGCTAAAAATAGGTTAATGGGAAAGTTTTTGCGTTGGCCAAGCGTTTAGTTTGTTTTTTCCGCCCAGTAATTGTTGAAGGCCAATTATGATTGCTGGTGTCAGTTTCTTTCTCAAGTTTATAACTCGCACTAAAAGGGGGGAGCGAAATTGGTGGGTGAGGGTTTTTTTCAGGCGGAGCAGTTGTTAGTGTAATTGCAAGCGAACGTTTTTTTTTTTTGATGTGACTTCATGCACTTTCATGGGTGACAGAGAACTTTGGAGATGTTGTGCTTACAGGGGGAAGTATCCGTCTGTCGGAAAAATAACGGCGGATCGTCGCGCATCGGAATCGCCCATCATCGCTTTGCGACTGCAAGCCGCGGCTTGGGACCTGGTGCGCGATAGCGGCGAGGCGAGACATTTTGATGCGACGATCCGCCGTTATTTTTCCGACAGACTGATACTCCAAGTGCGACGCTCAGATTTTGACGAAACCTGGCACAAATCTTGAATGACTTTTTCTAAAATATATGCGAGAGCCCTAGCTCGCGCTTTGCAGAAACAACCGAGATTTTTAGATTAAAAGTTGGCGAACATTTGACACTGCCGAATTTCGACACGAAAAGTTTCATGCCTATTTCTTCCACAGAGGGTAATGCTTCCACAAAAAATCTCGGTTTGCAGAAACGCCCGAGATTTTCAGATCGAAATTCAGCGAGAAATTTGAGACTTATTGCCAATTTTCGGCACGAAAAGTTTCATGCCGATTTCTACCGTAGAGGGTAATGTTTCCACAAAAAACCAATTTTTTCCGCACGAAACTGGCAAAGTTATGGCCAAAAAGTGTTTCTCTCTCTGGTCGCTCTCCGCGCTTAGTGTACTCTTTCGGCGGGAAAAACAGTTAGAACGGATCTAAGCGAGAAATAGCTAGTCGTTAGTCCATTTTGTAAGTCATCACAACTTTCAGGTTAAATTTATGGTTTCCAATTTGAAACAGGTAACTTTCCGAAGTGCGACGTCGCGACGCTCAGATTTTCTTTCAATTTTGCGCACACTTCGGGTAAGGATCACATATCAATCCGTGAAAGTTTTAGCTCGCGCTTCGGAGGCGCCGCCGGGATATTTTAATATTTTTATCGTCGCAAGAGTACGTGAAACGCGGAGTGTGGTCAGAGATAAAAACATTTTTTGGCCGTACCTTTGCCATTTTTATGCGGAAAAATTTTATCTTTTCTTGAAACATTGCCCTATACGGAATAGATGTGAAACTTTGCATGTCAAAGTTCGAAAAAATGCGTCACATTTTTGCCAACTTTTGATCTAAAAATCTCGGTCGTTTTTGATAAGCGCGAGCCAGAAATCTCGCATATATCATAAAAGAAATAATCCTAAATTTTTGCCAAGTTTTATCAAAGTCTGAGCGTCGCACTTGGCGTACTTCCCTGTTATTTAGTTTATATTACAAAATCCATTCATTATCCATTCCGGATCATCTTCCAAATGTTTTTATGCGTATTTAAACCTATGGCTTCCTTTAATCTTTTTTGTTCATTGTGGGGCACGTCAGAACTTAGCCGAAGCCTTCCTTATTCATTTATTCCTCCTTCATTTTTTTGGCGACCCTCGCTTTCGCTGGGATTTTTAATGACAAAAATTTTTGTACTGATCATTGAGATTTTATTGGGAGCTCCATCTGTCGGTGAGCGAGAGCAAAAGGCCAAATGAAACTTTCTAAGGGAGAATTTGCAAAAAAAAAATGTCAAAAAAGCTTACTTGGCTTATATAGAGATATGACCGTGTTGTTTTTTTTAGTTGTGCAATTTTATAAAGGTAAAGCTAAAGTTTTGGTGCATGTGCTAGTATCACCTGAAAATCGTTGAAAACGCTATATATTGACATATGTTTCGTGTGGTTAGGTTCAACATAGCGGTTTTTATAAAGCTTCAAAGATGACCAACTTTCGTCCCAAATTTAAGTTTATGCCAAGTTTCATCAAAATCTGAGCGTCGCACTCCGACCACTTCCCCCTTTGCGTTAGACGGCCTGATTTTTTCAATTATCTTATTTTCCATATGTTTTTAGCTGACCCGTCTAATCTCTGAATCCGTAAAAATATCCGCAGGCGCTTTCCACTTTTTTTTATCACGCACCTCTCCGAGTCGACAATGAAATGGATGTTTTTTTCTGGTCAGACATCCCTATAATTTATTCCTCTGCCAAAGGTCAGGCGCTCTAATAATTTCCAGTTTTAATTATTGCGCATACATGCAAGTGGAATTAATTTTGGGAGAAAATGATAAAGGATGCGTTTTGGATTCGAGTGCCGCCTTTTGCAGGGCGGGAAGTTTGGGGAAATTTCGGGAGAAGATTCATGTGAAAACCTTGCAGAAGTCTATTAATAACTTGGTTGATGACTTGTAATTATCATTGGTATTAGAAACAGACTTTAAATGCCCGTTTCTAAATAGTAAATTACATGGTGTTTTTGCAGCTCGTCGTGAAACCAGGCACGAAAAAATGACGATTTCTGATGTTGAATTAATCGTGGGCAAAGGAGAGCTTGGTTTATAGGGTAGAACCTTGAATTGTGGCGCCTTCATCTTGCTCAAATTGTGTCAAAACTGTGGGTGCTGTTTCTATTTTTTCTAACAAAAAGTTCGAGCAATTTTACAAAATACCCGATACGCGGCTTGAAATTTTTTGCCGGAGCCATTTATCGGTCTGTCGGGAAAATAATGTGGACTTTATTTTTCATCACGCTTTGAAATCGCCTACCATCGCTTTGCCAGAGTTAGCCGGGCTTGAACGTTTGGTGGGCAGCTGTGATGAGGCGAAGAATTTTTCAGCGACAAAAGGACATTACTTTCCCGATTTTTTTTCGAAAATGTATTTATTTGGCCTTTTTTCTCTAATGCATCGTGCATTTTGGTACCTTTTCACACTAGCTGCCGCAAAAAAAATTTTTTTTAGCATAGCTCCTCAAAAGATTGCTGAATATCTCCGCTAGGCTTTTCTGTCTGTCGGGAAAATAATGTGGATTTGACGCAACTCGCCTCTTCGCAGTCGCACATCAGATCTCCAGCTCGCGGCTAGCCGTCACAAATACATATGGGAGGTTCCAAGGTTCGACAAGTCCACATTATTTTCCCGACAGACTGATAAAAACCTTTATCCAAGGCTTACGCGGATTGATATGCGACATATTTACAATATGTAGACAAAAATTGAAAACAGTCGACTGTCACGACTTAGCTATGAGTCGTGGTGTAAGATGGCCCTTAACTTGCCTGCTACTACTAGTATTCACTACGCAAACTAGAAAACTCTGGCAATAAAACTGTGAACTCACTATATTGACTCCAGACGATGTGACCATAGACAAATCAATAGACAAATAGTAAATATAGTAGACTTTATTGGACACAACCGAAAAAGACAAAACACAAATTAACGCTAATACAGGGTGTTTCAAGAAATTTGGAACAAATAATTTGCTTATATCTTTTTTTCTTTGCAGCTATCAACGAATTTCTTTTTGCTTCTAAAAATTGACAGCGTGCGTTTTTAGAATCTCAAAAAAAATTTTTTTCGTCGGCGGAGGGCCCATTTCTCGGCGGAGAAAATTAGGGCCTTTTTTAAAAATCACAGCGTATTACGTGGCGGAAACGCCGTTGCAACGGTTGAAATAAAGTTTACGTAACACCTCCGTCGATTTTACGGTATGCATTTTTTTGTTTTCGATTTTACGCGCACCGCGGAGGCGCGGTGGAGACTTCAGATGGCGATTTCTCTTCCTTTTATACCAATTTGCCGGTCATTCCGTGGGAATATGCAAATTCGCACGCGAACTCGTGACACGACGGAGTATTTGCAACTCCTTATGCCATTATTTTTCGAATGGTCCCATCTTTTCAAACTTTGATTTCTCACCTTTTTCCTTCCGTTCAAGCATACTACAACAAACACGTCTACTCTAATAGGCTCGGAAACAAAAATAATACTTTTGTCGGTGGGCAGGAGTAGGTACTTATTGTTCGCAGAGCACTTGCCTGCGTAAACTCCTTGGAATTTCACATGCGGCAATTCTCAGGGAGGTTTCCGAAACGGCATGTAGAGGCTTGTTGTTGAAGGGTTCACACTGAGGAGACAGTGTCGTAGAGTTCGCTTTATTTTTCAAAGTTTTGCTTGGGGTTTCTTTACTTTTTGCAACTTTTTCAATGTAAAAAATCGTTTTTTTCTTCAGAAATTATTTCATCAGTGTGTCGGGAAAATAATGTGGATTTTTTGCGCCTTGAAATTTCTCATCATCGCTTTGCGACGGCTAGCCGCGGCTGGAGATTTGGGGGCAAAAGCGAGCCATTTTGCAGCGAGAAATCCCCATTATTTTCCCGACAAAAAGTTTGTTTACTCTTTTAATACATGTACTATATGGTCACAAAAGTTTTCATAAGTTTAATCACTTCAAACCATTGATCTTTTACGCATTTAACCCTGACGTGCGCGACGTTTCCAAGAGCCCCTAAAGAGAGTATTAAACCGTATAAAACGCACTTGTGATGTTTACACTTCAGATGTTTGGAACTACCTAATCCAGACTCTCAATTCATAAGTTGTTTTTCAGCAGTTGTTCTTTTAGGAGCTTATAGATAGTTTTTTTGGAACCTACAGTTTTTAAATATTTGATCAGGAAGTGTTTTATTGCTTGGTAGAGCAAAGAGTGACGAGCATATGAATTTAATCGAAATAGGAAGTGTGCAAATTGATTACTTTTCTTTAATTTTGCGCGCGTTTCGAACCCAAATCGCGTATCAATCCTCAAAAATTTTAGTTCGCATTTTGCAAGGGAGATATCCAAAATTTTTTGCTTATAAGCAAAAATATACGAGGGAGTATATAAAACATGGACAGTGTGTAGAAAACAGTTGATTTTTTGTATCGTATTTTAATGGAATTTCATATTTCTCTTGGCAAAAATAAATTCATGTCAATTTTCATTAAAATCTCAGCGCGGCGCTTCTTAATATAATAACTATTTTCCTGCAATTTTGATGACTTGAACATCCTCTGCTACCATACATAAAGCGTACATTTTGAACGCCTTTCGTTAATTTCGTTCCTTGGGTAAAATTGGGGCGAAGTCCACTTACCGTTTTTAGGCTTGTTTATTGTTTTTTGTTTGTTCACTGGGCAAGAAGATCATCTCTGGAATAATATTGTCGGATTTGTCACCCAAAAAGTTCGCGCAGCTGTCCGTTTTTTGAGCGGTTCCATGAAAACACTATAAAAGGGACTACAGCTGATGGTCGGCAGAGGCTTTATAAATCCTTTAACAACGCTCCATCACTATATAAACGCAAGATTTCTTTCGAATCTTCCTTTAATGACTGTAGAAAAAAATTTTGATTTCCAAAATTATGACAGTGCAAGCTTGTTTGGCCTCAAATAAAAAAGGAGGTAGTTCAAGTGCAACGGTCAGCTTTTCTTTGAATTTTTGCACACACGTCAGGCATAAGTTGCATATTAATTTCTGAGAGTTTCAGCTCGCGCTTTGCGGGGGCACTCCAGATATTCAACGCTCGACGAGAGAGTACGCGGAACGCGGAGGACGTTCAGAGAGAGAAAACCATTTTTTGGCTATATCTTTGTCAGTTTTACGCGGAAAACAATTATTTTTAGTGGAAATATCACCCTCTGTGGTAACAATAGACATACAACTTTTTGTCCCTAAATTCACAATTTTTTCCATTTTTTTTACATTTCGACTTAAACATCTCGGTCGTCTCTGTAAAGTGCTTCCTCACACAAGTCATCGAAAAATTCATTCTAAATTTATGATTACTCTAAATTTGTGTTAAGTTTGATCAAAACCCGAGGGTCACAGTTGAAGTAGCTCCCCTCTAAATTCGAAAAAATTGCGTTATTTCTCAAATTTAAATTTTACATGATTGTTTTCCGATGGCGGCGGAATTCGCGATAGTCTCGGAGGCTAATTGTAGGTCCATAAAGCCCGAGCGAGTCATAAAATCCGAGAGGAAGCATGGCTTGTCCTCTTGACGTTTGTTTTTGCTCAAGGAATTTCATTATTTTCTTTTTTATTTTGTCGCCGACAAATTTATGCGCGTTTTATTGGAGGGTTCCGGCGTGTTGCCGACCAAAGGCCGAGGATGCTTTTTTGGGGTTTTTTGGATGTCACAAATTTCTGTGTTTCTTGCAACCGTGATTACAACTTTTTGCTGTTCCCGTGACGTATTTTACGCTGAAATTTCAGGTCAATGTTGCCGGTTAGGACAGCCATTTTGGCGTCCGTTTCAATATGCGTTTTCGCGGCACCGCCCGGCGTCCTGCAGCGGCACGGCGAGCCGGAGCTGGTCGAAGAGCAACGACATCCACAGCGAAAACATTCCACACAACATTCCATGGGGAGGCCGGCCGTGCTGGCGGCACAAGAGTCACAAAACAAAGTTGTTGTAGCACAGACGGCAGTGGAGGTAATCGGACTTCCAAGGTCTGTGGAAGAGGTTAAAGAGGTAAGCAGTCATTGTATTCAAGCCATCTTCTCTTTATGGTCGGCTAGCTGAAATCTCGAATATTAATTTGCCTTTTTTTGTCATTTTTGCATTAATTGTCGCATTACAAGCACAAAAGCTATTACTTCAATTAAACTTATTTTTAATAGTTTGAAATATAGGCAAGTCTAGGATCAAACACCCAACTTTTTTATATTTTCTGACCATTTAATACCCCTTTAATCAGTAGCACATTGTTTTAGATATTATCGACCATTGATAACTGACTTGTCGCAAAATTTAAGCCCCATTTCGGCCGAGGAAAGGGAAAATTTCAACAAAAAAAAACAGTATGATATTGGCAGAGACATGGTCAAAAAAGCTTTTCCTTTATACCGGTTGAAATTTCTATGCCCTAGGATTTGTTCTCCTCCTCTCAATCTCCATATCGACTAACCATTACAAGTCTAAAACCAAAAAGTCATGATTTTTCTCCCGACCTCCGTAAAGCTCAGGAAACACCCGTCAAATCGTATGTTTACGAGGGTGGGGTTCTCGGATATTTATGGGCAATTTGTAGCCCCAAGAATTGGGATTACAAACCCAGATTGTTGTAAACGTGTTGTAATACGGATTTCGTGTTTTTTTGCATGCAATTATCTCTGTGACGTTTCATGAGCCATTTGCAGGGAAAGTACTCTAATTGTAAGAGAGCTGAGGCTACGATGAAATTTTGCACAGATTTAGAATATTTTTTTTGTATGACATATGAAAGACTCATAGCTTGCGTTTTGCAGAAAAAACCGAGATTTTTAGATCGAAAAATCTTATAAAATATCACACCTTTTTACTGTTTCTATCTTACTGTTAGAAGGTAACCTTTCAAAAAAATCAACTTTTAAGCCCGTTTTTTTTCTCTGATCGCTCTCAGCATTTCACATATTCTCTCGGCATCAAAAATCGTTGAATATCTCAGCTCCGACTACAAGACGTAAAAACGAAAATTGTCCGATTTCTAAACGAACACCAATTAATTTTTGAGACAATTTACTCTAATCTTTTGTTGATAGAACGCAAATGACGTACAAAATTTTAAAGTGAGAATTTTTGAAAGTGAGGATTTTGTTTTGCCAAAAAAAGTGAAAATCGTCATCCTGAATCTCCAGTTTCAATCTGACTATCATAATTTTCTTTGGGAAAATTGCAAAAGTTCGTCTGACTTGTGAGAATTTTCCATTATATTTACAGGGTGTACCAAAAAAATGGAAACTTTTTTTCATTTGTCCTGACGCGAAAATGGTTAGGTGTAGCCAAAGAAGTTTATTACTACAAAATTCTCTGTGTTTTTCTGTCCTAGTTTTTTGATTTTTACGCCCATATCGATTAATCGACCTGTCTTTTTTGAACTTCAAACAAAGGAACCTCGATTTTGGACTTATTTTTGGAGCTGTTCGAAAAGTTAATTTGCTCGGTATAGAAAGAACGTTGTGTCGAAAGTAATCACGAGGCCCAAGGAGCTTGATACGGATAGTAAGCGCCCAGGAAGTGAAAGAAAACGCACCGCCTGCGCTTCTTTCAACCGAAAGATCCCCCACAGCAAAATCCGCGATTTTCAAGAAAAACTAGCCCTTGAGACTGACATCAGCGACCGATCGCTCGGCCGAATAGTCAAAGGCGAGCTCAACCTCATGTCATACAAGCTCTAAAAAATTCAGATCTTTAAAGTCGAGAGAAAGTGCATACAGCGCAAAAATATCGGAAAGTGAAACGGGTGGGCCGCAGCTCCGAGACGTGAGCGCATTCAGTTCGCGGTTTAATATTTAGCGGATACACAACCACCAGAACGATAGAATCTGCTTCAGTGAGGCTCCTAGCCTGTTGGCCATCGTCAAATACCACCAAAATCCGGGTCGTCATTGCTTAAGGCGGAATTTGTGCCAGCGGCAAGAATTCCATGTTTTTCGTGAATAAATGGGACAAAATACTAGCGCCGCGTTCATTTCTATTTTGTCGTGCTTCCGTGAGCTCAGCAGAACCTTGGCAATGCAAACTTGGGGTTTCAACAGGACTCAGCGCCGGCTCACAAGGCAAAATGGACTCAGGACCCGAAATGGGACCGATTTCCCCGATTTTGTCCCGCCTGCGAAATGGCCGCCTGCTCGCCAGATCTGAATCCAATGGACTATATATTTTTTAAATAGAAGGCCAGCACCTGTACTATGCTCCACAAAAGTTTGGAGTCGCAAAGTAAATGATCCGCCAAGAACGGGACCGATTTCCCCCATAAAAAGCTGCGGCCCGGACCCCAAAATTTTACGTCACGTTTGGAGCTCTATATCGCCACCAAAGGCAGCCACTGTGAAACAGATTGAACATGTTATAAACAATACTCTATGTTACTAATCATAACCGTTACTTTTGCTGAATTTTGATTCTCCGAAAAAATATAGCTATAAAAACAAGTTTCCATTTTTTTGGTACACCCTGTATTAGTCTGTCGGGAAAATAATGAGCACTCTGTCGCATCGAAAATCGCATCGCCGCCGAGAAAATGAATTGTGTCGCGGAAAAAAACGAAATTTCTTTTAACTGTACCGCGATTGGCGAAGCAACATTGTGCTCATTATTTTCCCGACAGACCGACCGTTCGATTTCTAGGATCGTTCCTCTTTCTTTTTAATCCATGTTTTCGTAACCAGAGTGGCTTTTTTTCCCATTTTGCATCCATTTTATAGTATTTTTGCCCAATTTAAACGCGCTAATTGCGATGCTTGGGAATACGCCATGACAATTGACTCCTTTTGCATTTTGTTTTCTGAACTTTTCACACGGCTAATTTATAATAAGATTGCGTAATTTTGAATGCAAAAACCTCAAAACCTCCTTGGAATGTCGCGAAAAAAGTAAATTTTCAACTTTTCAAAATGCAATTTTTTTTACTATTACATCAACGAGACCGAAAAAAAATGTATTTACTACATCAACGAGACCAAAAAAACGCGGCGAACAGAAAATTGGCTTATCGTTCGGCCAAAGAACTCAAGTTCACAGTGTTTTTTTGCTCGCAGAAAATGAAGTCTGGGCCAAAACAGGGATTCTGAGAGACGTTTTGTGAGACATTTTGGATTTTTTAAGCTAAATTTTTCTTATTTTGCATGTAATTATATAAGGTACAACTTGGCCAAAAAAATGTTTGTTATATAAGGGTTTTGCAGTCTGTGGATTCATTTGAGACTAAAATCGACCAGCTGCGCAATTGTTCGTTATAGCCAACCAATCGCTGGCCATAGAAATCTCAGACTCAAAAAAGTTTTCAAACGACCGCTATTTAATCTTAGTGGGCCAAAACAACATAAATTTGAATCTCTTTACGGCGTGGAAGGCAAAATATCCCGGGAATTTTTTGCAATCCCTCGCCGAAAAACGGAAGTGGCAATAGTTCAAAATAATCAAATAAATTGTCAATTACATCCCCAGCCATTTTCAGATTATTTTGCTTTAAGGACATGCAAAAAATTCAGTCCAATTTTGGGCTCCAAGCAATAGAGGCGAGGTTTAAATGTAGTTGTTTTGGTCTGTTAAAATTAAATAGTGGTCTTTTGAAAACTGCGTAGTCTGAAATTTCGATGGTTAATAGCGATTAAAAATCTGTTTCATATAGAATATAATGGCCGATTGCAAGCTTTATGCGTGCCAAATCTCATCTAAATTTGAGAGTCTTACGCCGTGCACATTCCCTGTTTTGTCATTCCGTCTCTAATTAGCATTTGTTCTCCCAAATCATTTCCAAATTTGTCTTTTTATCACATCTTTAACCGTCAACATCCCTAATGATATGCAACTACTCTCCGGCCCCCCTCAACACACCTTCTTCGCCTTTTCTCTATTCACATCATTTTCGCTTCAGGACATGAAGAGCCCGTCGCATGGTGAGCTGCTCACCAGCTCGATGAAGGCGGTCTTCGAGGTCTGTATGTATCGGTACGATGAGGTGGACACGACCAGAATGTTCATCGATGGACCGCTGACGCTGATGGCGGCGGTGGGAGCGTTGGTGGGAGCCAAGCTGGCCGTGAAGTTCTTGGCACAAGCGGGTCTGAACAGGGACCTGACAGCAGGTGAGAGGGGGAGAATACAGTGGGGTGATTTCTTAAGTTTCTTCAAGCATATAGGGACGGACCTGATCCTGTGGCAAAAAACGTACCATTTTACATCCAGCAAGTGTCAAAAATGTGGCAAAATGCTTCCCTCACCACGTGAAAAAAAACTTCGTTTTGAAGGGCGCGCTTTTGAAATCGGGGTTTTTTCACTTGGAGAGGGAAGCATTTTGCCACATTTTTGATACTTCCCCGGTGCAAAATGACACGTTTTTTGCCACTGGATCGGGTCCCCCACTGTAGTGGACTTTTTTTTCTCTGCGAACGGACCCTCAGATTTTGACGAAACTTGGCACAAATTTAGACAAATTTTTTTGAGTCGAGCATTCGTCCTAGCTCGCGGTTTGCCGAGAATACCTCGATTTTTAGACCAAAAGTTGAAATATTGAAAGTGAACGGACCCTTCACTGAATAGCCTTGCAAAGATTTCTTTTTCAGCTCTCTACGTTCTCTGTTTCTGCGACTCGTTCCTTATCATCAACGTCTCCGTTAACCATGCCTTCGAGGCGACCGGCATCCTCATCGCCGACTATAACCCCATGTGGGACAAACAAAACTATGTCCTCCTCACTCATGGTCTCTGCACCATTGCAACGACAGCATCGGTAAGCGGGACCTGAACGCCAGACATATTTACGATATTTCTTATTTTTTGCAACATTTGCATTCAAACTTTTTTGCAGACAATGCTCGTTGTTTACATCACCTTTCAACGGTTTCTTGTGGTCTGGTGGCCGCTCAAGTATGCGAAGCTGTGTGATCGGAAGCGTAAACCCGAACATCAGCCATTCCGACGTCTGAGCAGTCAGATGGACTCGGACTGGACGACCTCCAGCTATCGGCGCACGCTGAGTTTCAAGATTCCCGGACAGAACGCGCTGAAGCGGAAGACCATGCCGTCATTCAAGAAGATTCTGCGGCCCTTTCTCTTTCCAGGTACAGACTGTTGAAGGCGTTGAAGTAAAAGTTTCACGTATAGAACAAGCAAAGAGAAAAACAAGGAATACCGCACGTCAAACTTAGATGAGCTAAAATGATTTGATTGCTAATTCTTCAAAGAAAGACGCGAAAATTCCTTTAGTCGGGGGAGAAATGGGGAATTTTTAGGGCGAGAGATTGCGTCTTTTCTCTGTCTTCTCTGTGAAATCAAGACGAAGCGTAAAAAATCTATTCCGGTCTCCTCAATTTGACGTGTACCGTTTTTAAAAGCACCTGCACTGTAATGCTCCTCGTTTTTTCAGTCCTGATAGTCCTCTGCTCCGTGATCATCAGCAGTTCCGTGTTCTACGAGTTCTACTCGGCGCCATGCCTCAACATGATACATAGAAAAATGGCGGTTTATTTGAAAGTAACCGATTTACGGACCCATCAACTTGTAAGTTAGGAAACTCCTTATTTGAGCCCAAAATTTAGTACAATAGCATACGCACGGTTATCATGATGGTCACGCAGGCGATTGGGCCTGTAACGACGATTTCATTGCTAACAGCGTTGACCGAATACAAAGTTCAAGCAAGTCTGAAGGCGAGAAGGCTGTAAGTTGAGGTTTATTTGTTGATAACATCGCAAGATGTGATAAACATACTTTTCAATCAATCTCTTTGTATCGTACAGTTCTTACAATAGATTTTCAGACTCTTCGAAAGCCAACAACGGCGTCGTTCACTCGTCCAGATGGAGGAAATGAAAGAAAAACTTTCTCGGTTTGTCGCCATCTTCATTGCTGTCAAATTCATTGTTTTACGGTAGGAATAGTATCCCTTATGGCACAGATTTTAATCGTCATTGCTCCACAAATTCATTCCCAAAATTTTCAGCTCACTGCCAAGCTTCTTTGACGTGTACGAGTTGGTCTATGGGATCGAATCGTTCGGTCGTGTCCTCTCAACCTTGGTGAACTACTCCGACTTTGCTGTGGTTCTGAACAGCGCCACGAATTCGTTCGCCTATTTCGGGAAGGCCGGATGGATTGAGAGCAAGTTGCGCGGAAGATTACTCAGGAAAAGCACAATGCACAAGCATAGTGTGAACAGTACGGATGTAAGTTTAATCTGATATTGCTCTCGGTAGAAATATTCTTGATTGCAAAGCATTGTAATGACGGTATTATACTGATTCTGGATTTTTGGGAACAATTATCAGTATGTCGGGAAAATAATGTGGATTCTTTGCGCTTTGTAAATTCCCATTGTCACTTTGCGACGGCTAGCCGCGGCTGGAGATTTGGTCTGCGATTGTGACGAAGTGTTCTGCGACAGATCCACATTATTTTCCCGGCTGACTGATACATGATCTGATAAAAATAGAAATGGGTTGGGAGTCGGACCGAAAGGTCCGATACTCAGCCCGGCAATACCCCCTAGTGTATTCTAACACAACGAAAATTGGTGTTAGCTAGCGAAAACCTCCTAGAAGATTTGAAAACAAAAAAACGGCGGCGAATTTAACCCATTGTTTCTTTCTCCATCATTTCTTTGGCTTTACAATCATAATTTCATATCTTATTGCTAGTAAGCTCAATTTCCCGGGCCGAGCCGTCTCAAATTTGCTTTGACCCGGTGTGGGAGTCATTTCTGACTTGATAGCACATCTTTAAAAAAAAGACCGCTTATCAAAAGAGTTCGTGAAGGATGATTTATAAGCCGACTAAAGGTGTTTGTTGTGGTTTAAACTATAGAATGCGGGTTGTGCTTTTAAATCCCATGTCTTGAGAAAAAGTGTGGCTAAAAAAATTTTAAGGCGATTTTTTCGCAACAGCGGATTGCTAGATTCCTTGAATTTCCCATTAACATGATGAAAAAAAATCCTTTTTTTATCGTTTTAAAATTGAAATTAACAATTCGAACAGAAAAAAGCACGTCCAAAATCGAGGTCCCTCTGTTTGACATTCAAAAAAGGAGTGTTAGTCAACCGATATGGACATGAATTATAAGGCCTAGGAAAGAAAATCACGTAGAATTTGTCAGTATGAAAATCATTTTGCTAGACTAAAAAATTTTCGCGTCAGGACCCAATGAAAAAAGTTTTCATTTTTTGCCGCACCCTGTATATTTTTTTAAAAGTTTAAACCGCTTATGCTAACCAATCCAAGATTTCAATTTCAGGGCCAAAGTAGCAAAGTCCCGAAAAGCCCGCGACGCCTCTCCGTGACGCCGCAACCGATCACCTCCATTTCTCAGGAAGACTGCTGCTCGATGTTGGACGCTCGCCGGCCCTCGCTCCGTTCCGAGCATCGGCTGGGCGTTTGACTTTTATCGGCTCGCTTTTCCCCCCAATTCTCAACAAAAAGTGATCTCATGTGTTTTTCCTTTCTCTCCAAATATTCAGCATAAAACGTGGTAACCTGTAATAATTACTGAAGTTTGTACAAATTTTCCAGATAATAAATTATTTATTTCTACCGGAGTCTTATTGCTGAAATGATTGTGCGACCTTTGTTGATTGTCTTATCAACCCAACTGGCTGTTGGATATAAAGTGGAGACCGAGGAGTGTGTGGGGTTCCTCAATTATTCAACGCCAACGTCCGTTGAATATATGGAAGCGCAATGGAAGTTCGCGCGGTCGTTTAGCTTGACAGAGGCGGACTGGGTGCGGGCATTGCCGACGTTTGACGAGGTCCACGAACTTGAACGGGTAAGAAGATAGTGTTAACTTGAGAGAGCATCCTTGGGGCATATGTCAGCTTGTCGGAAAAATAATGCGGGTCTTCGCAGCAAAATTTTTCACCTCGTTGAAAAAACGGTACAGTCTAGCACAAAATCTCCAGTTGCGGGAGCCATCGCAAAGATGATGATGGGCCAATCCAAGGCGCGAAGGTCTGCCACTATTTTCCCGACAGACTGATAAATCTTAAAGCACCAAAGATGAAGGTTTCAAGAGCCAGGAAACCACGTGGTTTTGGCGCTTCTTGGGAGGTCCGAACGGCCGCCAATTTCCTCAAGCTTGTCGGCTCTTCCGGGATGTTTCTGAGCCCATTTTTTAAACAATTTTTAACCTTACGATATCAGTCTGTCGGAAAAATAATGACCACTCTGTTGCATCGAAAATCGCATCGCCGCCGAGAAAATGAATTGTGTCGCGGCAAAATCAAATTGCTTTTCATTTCAACGAGTGACTGGCGTAGCGACAGAATGCTCATTATTTTTCCGACAGACTTATGAAATCATGGTAAAAATTGTTTAACTTTCAGGTTACAGCTCATTAAAAATGCCCTTTAGAAAGGAACTAGAATTTGTTTTCAAGCGAAGTTGCAGCGGATATTTGAGTTTCTAAACTTTAAAAAGTAACTGAATTTCGAGTTGCAGCTCTTTACCGACCTCTACGACTTGGAAGACTTCAAGAAATTCGATTCCTCCAATGTTTATGAGACGTACTCCACGCTGAAGTTTCTGAACTTCCATACAATCCAGGTATGCCTTCATTCACAAACTTGTAAAGCTTTTATCAAATTGCAAAGGTCATACATGCTCCCCTTTTTGCTCGTAACAACGACAAAATTCTCTTTTTTTTCAAACACTCCAAAAAAAGAGTAACGCAAACAACCACTGTTTTCGCTCAAAAACTGTGCGAAAAACAAACGTTTTTTCTCTTCTCCATGACGCAGTTGATTTTAGAACGACCAAATTCTCATAATAACGGAGAAATTCCAAGAAAAAGCAAGTGACAACCGATTCTTTGGGTTTGTGGCAATCCGCGGACAGCGCTACGTGAGGAACTGGATTCACCTCTCGTCGCCGCATTTCGAGACCGACGGAGCGGTAAGCCAACAAGCGTCAGTGTTGTTTGATGACACAAACGCAAAGACGGTGGTCGTTGCTGGAGCAGCGAGGGATTCGGTTTCGGGGTAGGTGAAGTATAAGGTGAAGTATAAACTGAAGGATAAATTTGGAATACAAGGGAAGTGTGCCAAGTGCAACGCTCTGATTTTCTTTAAATTTTGGACATATGTCGATCACATCCCGCTTATCAATGCCTGAAAGTTTTAGCTGGCACTTTGCAGACACTGCTGAGATATTCAACGATCTCTGCGGCCGAGGGAGTATGGAAAATCGCGGTCTAGAAAAACAGTGTCTTTGGTTTATATCTTCGCCAATTCTGGGCCAGGAAAAATTTTCTTTGTGGAAAAGTTATTCTCTATTTTTTGTGTAGTTCTAAAGCAGTTTATATCAAAATTCTCAAAAAGCTCTCATCCTTTTTTCAAATTTTTTGGCTTAAAAATCTTGTTTGTTCCTGCAAAGGGCAAACTAGCACTCTGGCATATGTCTTATCGTTAGAAAACATTATTCCATAAACATTCCAAATTACCTCAAAATCTGAAGATCGAACTTGCAATACTACCCCTGTTAAATTGAGGTGCTGTAAGCAAGATTTCCAGCGCAAATACAGAAGTTAGAGCATTCGAAGATTAAATTTCAGTGGCGTCAACTCAACGTGTCAGCCAGGCAACAAAATCGCGGATGCCGCTCACAACACTGAGACTTGGTTCCACAAAATCTTGGTGGCGATTTGGAGAGCTAACAAACAAAGAGATGATCAGTATATTCAATGGCACGGAATGGCGGAGACTAGGTATTCGTAAACTGTCAACATAGTAATGATCTTATCCATAGCTGCCGAAAATCAGACGCCTTTTTGAGCGTTGGAGCCAATAATGACCACCACATCTATCGGGACAATGGGAGTTTCGTTTTTGAGGTAAGAAATGGTCAGATTCCTAAACAGTAATGCTATTAAAAATGAAAAAAAATGCTTGCGAAGCTCAGATTTCCTTGCGCACAGTATATGTCGTAGGCCACGTACGAATTACTGAAAGTTTTACCTCTTGACTCGTAGGCGAAGCCGAGATATTCAACGATCTTTTGGGCCAGGAGGGTATGCGAAGGGCGGAGAGTCGTCTGAGAAAAAACACTTTTTTCCGTATCTTTGTCAGTTTCGTGACGAAAAAATTGATTTTTTATATAATGATTACCCTCTACAGTAAAAATAAGCATGAAACTTTTGACTTACCGCACATGAATTGCAACTAGAAAAGTTTAGATTAATTTTGTGTCATTTTTTTTTCAAAATTTGACTGCCCCACCTTGATCAGTTTCGCACAAAAAATTTTCAGTTGGAAAAATCAATTGACATGGTGTCCGAGAACGACTCGTTTGCCCAAACACCCTACACCGACAGCCGCTGTCACTTGGTGGCGCTATCAAATGTTTTTGGCAGGATCGTGAACGGTGTGGCAATTGGGAAAGAATGCAGCGAGAAGGCAGTTGCGGAGGTAAGATCATCTGCAGATTTTTATTGCTCGGAATTTCACGATTTCACGGTGCAACTGCAGTTGTCCTTTACGGCCATCGATTGTTAAACGAGTTGAAGTTTACAATTTAATTTGCAGAACATTAATGGAAAATTTCTTCATATTGAGCAAAAAATAATTTCCCGATGCAATTTGACTCTGTGGAATGAGGGCTTAAAGGTGGTGTTGAACAAGTAAGCACCTTTTGCATACCTTCGCCAACAAATACAGTGGCGGACCTGATCCATTGGCCAAAAACGTACCATTTGGCATCCGGAAAGTATCAAAAATGCAGCAAAATAAATACCCCTTCCAAGTGAAAAAACCCCGATTTCAAATGCGCGCCCGCTCTTTTTGCAAGGGGAAGGGCGCGCAGTTCAAAACGGAGATTTTTTGGTTGGAGAGGGAGGCATTTTGCCACATTTTTGATACTTCCCGGATGCGAAATGATACGTTTTTTGCCACTGAATCAGGTCCCTCACTGTACACATTATACCAACAATATGAACTGCTTTTCAGCACTGCCAGAGCCAATCCAGAGTCATTGTTTTGGAGCCCAATTGCAGCAGGGTTATTTACGACGTTATTCAATCTTATCGTTTTATAATACGACGGAAAATAATGATGATTACTCAATTTTCTGTCTGCCTAATTAAAAAAAAATTTATTCGTCTATTCTTTTCGCAACTAACATGTATAACATGTCAGATGTCATACGAAAAATTCCACGTGTTTCTGGTCCTCCGACAACGGATCAATCACCGTTTTTCGCAGAAGCTCCAGCAATGACATTCGGTGTTTCCGACGGTGCTGTCCGAAATCCCGCAACACGCTCGTATTTATGATCCTTTTCCGATGTAATCTCGGATTTTCAAGCATTGTGAAACGCGAGTTTCCGACGAATTCGTGGAGTTCTCCAACGGCCTCAGAAGGCTTTGGCTTCTTTACTACCGTCTTTTTCGTCGATTTATCGACGGGTTGCTTGACTTGGCCCGCTTCGCCACTCACCATGATTGGTGGAAGATCAACAACTCCCATTGAAATCATGTTTGTCATGATTTTTTCCGCCGTTTTTCCGGTTTCCCCATGTAGATCAGGAGCTGTTATGTTGGGCGATGTGTAGTTGCTTGTTGAAGTCTCAGCACTGATCATTGTTATCTTTTCATGCTTGCCTTTCTCTTTCTTTGTCTCATTTTTATTCACAACATGTTTCGGTTTTCCATCGACGCTGTAGCTGCTCCCATAGCCCACGGAATTCTCGGTCTCATCGGTGGTTTGGTCATACGGGTCCACCTCATTTCCACTGTGATTCTCGGGACTCGGCGTGACCTCAGTTTGGCCGCCATAACCGTTGTCGTTCCCACCATACGGAGCTGTTTCGGGCGGTCCGTAGCTCTCGGTGATTTGGTTCTCATCGGTTCCTGTCTCGCCATAGCTATTGGGGATGTCGATATCTATTACTTCATCCTCTTGAATTGGTGTTCCATACACTAGGATGAATCTGTAAGATTAATGTACATATAAGCTATTTTCTGCTTACTTTCCGTTCCGCATAATCTTGCAATAGTGGTCCTCCGCGAACCTCGACTTCGAGACATAGTCTTTGGAGCCGACAATAACCTCGAACTTATGGTTCATTCTCCTTTCCGCGTAGTGGCCAATGAAATCAGCCATTCGTTTCTTGTCGCAGCAGTCATCTCCACTGATCCGCTCCAGCTCACGGACGGCCTCATCCATGACGCCCTCCAGTCTGCTGCTGCAGCACATGAACCTGTCGTTGTTTGTGTAGCATTTCTCCAGCGGATAGGAGCGTTCTTGCTCCATGATCAAGCGTTGTACTTCTTCGGTCATTGTAGGGCCGTTTGACGTGTCTGTGGGAGTGCTGGCGGCGGACGATGAGGCTGACGGAGAAGAAGCGGCAGATGAGCTCGCGGACGAGCCAGAGCTCGCAGAAGAAGATCCAGAGGCTGATGAAGATGAACCAGAAGAGGCTGACGATGATCCGGAGCTTGATGCTCCGCTGCTGGAAGCTTGCGCGGCAGCCGAAGCCTGCGCCGCAGCTGAAGCCTGGGCCGCAGCTGAAGCTTGTGCCGCCGCTGAGGCTTGAGCTGCAGCTGCGGCTTCAGCCGCCTCAGCTGCCGAGACAGCACTGACTGAGCCTAGGTTGTTTAAAGAAGTGTAATAGTTATAAAGGGCTGATGCCGTCCCGGGTGGAAGTCCGGGATAACCTTGGTATTGGTAGAAGCCACCCGGGGGAGGAGGGGGCGGACCTCCTGGAGAAGGTGGTCCTCCAAAGCCGGGTACAAATATGCCAAAACAACGTTTCTTACGGTCCGCTTGAGTCACTGAAAAAATGGGCCAAAGAAAATGTTAGAAGTAAACTGCGCTTGAGAAACTTACAAGCAGATCGTTGCTTGGAAGAGCCAAGGTGAGTCTCAAAGTCGCTCAAAAAGCTGGAGTTGCCTTCGAGCGCCGGGTTAATCGTGACCCGTTTCTAAATGAAACGCATGTACATATAACATAAGTACATACTGGTTAATTTGAATTTGACACTATAATTTGTTTACTTTTAAAAAAGGAAGGTGAGACGAACAGATTCTATTAAATTTTCTTCAACCTAAAAATCTCGGTCGTCTCTGCAAAGCGCGGGCTAGGACTCTCGCATACGCCTCAGAAAAACTGGGCGTTTCACTTGTAGTACCTTCCCTGTTGGTGGTAATTGGAGCGATGCTTAAAAATATGTGTCCCTAGTAGTCGTTCAGCTACGGTAACCAAACAAAACATTCCTTGAAAGATGCCTTACCGAATAAATAACCCTTCGTCCACTGACTGGCTCTATCGTAGTCAAAGATGCAACGGTTGCAACAATAATAATTTTAAGCACCATCTATCTTGTTTCAAATCATAATTCTGCGTGAAGACGCCGCAAGGGCGAGCAGCGAGCGTTTTTTCGTAAGATTGCCGCTTATTACCTCCCGCGACAGAACTCATTGAATAAACTCCGGCTCTTCCGAACACGTTGGGGAAGGCGGTTTTAATTGAGCTGAAGAAAATGAAGGTGAAACGAAACATTAAAGATTGCTGTTCGAGGAGGATCGTTGTAATTGGCTTCTTGGATAAATAGCAATTCCAAAGAGTCCGCTTTGGCTTATACCTGTTCCTTTGACCAAGGCGCATAGGGATCGCCAAGGCTGGAGATGACAACCTGATATCCGCCCAATCCGATCCGCCAGGCCATAATATACTTCTTTTGAAGGTCTAAGGTTAAAGCAAGTGATTCCACCTCAATATAGACATAATTCATAATTCTTGGAAAGAGCCAGGGCAAGATTTTTACCATTTTGGAGAGGTCTATAGCAAAAATGGCTTGAAAAATAAAATGCAGCAAAAGATTCAAGAAAGAAAATGATTATTACCTTTGATTGAAGTATGGGATGCCGATTCCAAAAGGTATAGAATATTATACATAGAAAGCTGTCTGTTCTTGGCCAGCAGCGACAAATCCTTTGGTTTGTGATCAAAGTATTTGTGATGAGCAACTGATTCTGTAAATTGTGCTTGATATAAGAGCCTAAAATTGAAGAAAAATGTGTCCCGCCCACTTTAGAGTTTCGTCCAAACGAAGTGTCAAAATTGACAAAAGAAATAAATAAAATAATTCCGAGAAAGATAAATATTTTTCGGCCGGAAAACCCAAGAAAAATTCTTTTTTATTCTTATTTCTTTATTTGTTCTTTACCTTATTTTTATTATTATTATAGGTTAACAGCAGACTATGTACCAACTTTGAATACATACAGGTATCTTCTACTGCTTTTTTTGATGCTTTGGTAGTACATAACTGCGAACTTAATACCTTTACGTGATACCCGAAATAACGCTCGTTGTGTAAAAACCGCAGCGATACACGGCAAACCAGTAGAGTAGTCTTAAACGAGAAAATTAACTCCGGACTCAAAAACAAGGCATCGTTTAAACCGCACTGTTGTTGTGGGCATTGCACAATGGTGCGGTCGGTTTCTTGTGTTCTGCTGCTGTTGGTTTTGATCGATGGCGACATTAATATTGCGAATTCTGGGAATAATCTTATCTTTGAGGAGTCCAGCGAGAGTATCGAAATAGCTGTTGGAAATTACGGTAGGTATACATATCTCTTGAACTTTTCTCCTTGTGTAACGTTTCATAGTATTCGAATTTTGTTATAGACGGAAAGCGTGAGGTGATGGAGAGTAGTGGCGAGAGCAAGGAGGACACAGAAGATGGACCCGAAGCGGCATCGCCCATTGTGCCACCACGAACAAGCCTCACCCCTTTCTACAGCCCGCTCCAGCCCGCCAAACCTTTTCCAATCGAGCCGCCAGACCGTAGCAAAGTTCCGGTAGCTGTTCCAACCCCCTCGCCAGAGCAATATACATTGCCCAGTGGACCACCAAGAGCTGTGGCGCCTTTCACACACATACCTGTTGCTTCGTCGGTCCCCGAAAGCACGTATTCGCGGCGTTTGGACCGCTACGTTAGTAAGAAACAAGATGTGGAGACTGAAGTGCAAGAGATGGACCAACTACTCCAAATTTCCACCTATTACGGTCAAAGTGGAGGCCAGATTTACTCGCCCTACCAGCCGCAACTCCAAGGATACCCGGGCTATCAAGGCTACTCGTCGTATCAGTCTGGCTATGCGCAGCAGTATGGATATCAACAACAGTACTCGTCGTGTTGTCCAAAAAGAGCGCTTGATATTCCGGGTAACTTTTTTTGGCCAGTAATTGCAACGGTTAAGATGTAACAACTTTTTCGCCGTTTGTAAAATTTGGTTATGAAATTCTAGGATTGGCCCCGGAGCTTCAAGACTGGATACCCGTCCAGAACGGCCCACTCGATCTTCCGGAGATCCCGGCGTTGACGAAGCTCGGCGTTCCCATCGCATTTCAGAAGCTGATCATCCCCATGATCGCGGCCGTTATCGGAGCTTTCGGCGGCTTTGGTGGCGGTGCGTTGGCAATTGTTGGAGCCTACTATGACAACATTAAGTCGGCACTGAGTGGCAAAGGCTTCGGCGCTTTTGGTTTTGGGGCGAAAACCAGGAACTACACCGAAGCCATAAGCCCAGCGGAATTTATGGCGGAATTGGAGCTTTTCAAGGCCATAAAGGAGACCAAGAAGACTAGAGTGTTCAGCAAGAAACGGCAGAAATTGCGGGCTCTGAGGAGGTTCAGCAAGTGGGGCAAGCGATTCCATTGAGAGCAAAAACAGCCGTTGAGAGCAAAAACACCATTAAGGCTCCATTAATTTATTACAAAGTAAACGAAATATCGGATATGTATAATATGTATATGTAAAATCGTCACCGAGTGTCTTTCCGGCACTTTGAAGGCTCTCAATACACGTGTGAGACAAACGGCGTACAATGCGTGCCCTCGTAGACGGAGATGTTTTGGAAATGGCCACAACAGTCGACGGCACTGACATTCTTGTCGCTGAAGAGCGGTTCGTTGTTCGCGATGAAGGGCCGTAAATAGCAGGGTGTAACAAAATGCGTTACGGAGATCTGTTTGATTGCGGAGAAGGTCGAGGCGGCTCCGACGGCCAACCCGATAACTGAAAGGAGGTGTTGCTTAATGCCTAGTGAAATATCAGTCTGCCGGGAAAATAATGAGCACTCCGTTGCATCGAAAATCGTATTCGACAAGAAAATGAATTGCGTCGCGGCAAAATTTCCTTTTGCTTCAGCGATAATATCGGCGCAGCGACATTGTGCTTATTATTTTCCCGACCGACTGATGGTATAATTTGTTGAGGACTTTGATTTGCCACCTAAACTTACTTGCAATTGATAGACATGTAATTGTTCTGTATCTGGGACTCCTTTGGATTACCCTGAAAGAAAATGTGTTGAAATTTGAGCTTGAAACAAAGGGCTAAAGAAGCAAGGCTTCAAAAACTCTAAGCGTTTGACTTACTCGCTCCAAGTGAGTTGATCGCTGTCCACAAAGCCGGATTTGGCTTCAGGATCCTCTCCAGCCTTTAGTCGAAGGTAGAATAGGCATGGGAATACCAGCGCCGTCAGCATATTTCCTGTCGAGCCGCAAAGATCCATTAAAGCACCGAACTGAGGCACAGAAAGCGCGGCAAAGACGACTATCATCATCATGCCCGTTCGGACAATTACTCGCTTGATTCCGAAAGCTGAAACGATTCAATTAGTACTATAACATCAATTAAAATATATTTTCTTGCTAGGCTTCAATCACAAACTTGTCAAGCCTACTTTGCGGGGTTTTGAAGACCTCTTCAGCCTCTTGATTTAGCGGATTGGATGCAATTGTTATTGTGAGGATACAATGGAGAGTGATCATGATGTTGATTCCAATTTGAAGCCATTTCGTCTGTATGGAGTTGATGATTGAGTCCTTTACCGAGTCGCCATAAGCGTAGTAGCTCAGCACCGAGACGGGGAGATAAAGAGCAGTTGTTACTGAAAATGGAAAAAACGATGGTTTTATCAGTCTGTCGGGAAAATAATGAGCACATTGTCGCATCGAAAATCGCATCGCCACTGAGAAAATGAATTGTGTCGCGAGAAAATCAAATTGCTTTTAAATTCAGCGATTGGCGTAGCGACATCTTGCTCACTATTTTCCCGACAGCCACGTACGCAAACTGCGCCCACAACTTACGTCCAAAAGCAAACAGCGTTGCTTTGTTGAAGTCCTGCGGAACTTTCATGTCGTGCTGAAGCGTCGGGAAGCTGGGATGATTCGCGTACGCGAAGAAGAAGGTCCCCACCGCCAGCAAATGATTGTCCAACAGAAACGGAGGCATTTGCTTCTCCGGCTCGCAAGTGTCATGATCAATAATTCCGCCGGCCAAAATGAATGCAGCCGCAAATGTTGAGGTGAACATGGCCACAATAACGGCTGGCCAAAAGTCCTGCGGAGACTTGAGGAATGTGGCGGGCAAGAGGACCGCCGCCAGGATCACTACCATGTAGCAGTAGCTGAATTCGAACGCAAAGAAGAGCTTGAGCAAATCGCAAATGTTGCGCGAGGAAAGAAGCACATAGACCACTGTCATTCCAAATTGAGCAATGTCGATGCAGATCGAGACTATGAGTCTGAAAGTTGAGATTACATTTTTTGTATAAGTCACTGATAACATCAGTCTGTCGGGAAAATAAAAGAGATATTTTTGTGGCGTTGACTACTACAACTTACTTGAATTTTGGCCCCAACGCCCGTCTCGCGATTTCCGGATACGGCTTCCTCGTATGATACCGGTATTCGGGGAAACGCTCCACCAACATCACCCAACATTTCCCTATCAAGATGGCTGTAAATGTCATCGAAATAGCCATAAATGCCGTGAACATCACACAAGCGTATATACCTGCAACAACATGGACATATGTGTGAAAAAGTGTCTGTAGATGAACTCCGGAGCTCGTCAAAGCTTACTTGTTCGCACTGTTGCCACCGGCAATGTGACCAGTCCACCTCCAGCGAGCTCTCCGATCATGAACAAGCCCGTGATAAACCAACTCATGCCCTTGTACCGTACGTACACTCCATTCACAAATTCCCCTTCTTCTTTACGCTCATGAACTCTGCCCTTGGGTTTAAAAACGTCGTCGTTTAAGTCGCAAGCCGCTATTTTAATTGTCATCTTGTCTGAAATACTTTATCTTTTGCAAATTTAGTTGTAAAGGTAAAAATACAATGTAAAAATAAACACGGCGAGTTGCAATACAAACTCAAAAGTCCCCCCATATGACAACAAGGCATTCAAAAATAACCTTCAACTTTTAAGACTAGGGCTCGAGACTAACGCAGCCTGCGGCTGCTACCGTCTCTCGGGCGGCGCTGCGGATAAAGGCAACGATTTGGATCTGTTCAACGTCGAAAACAGCACAAACGCTCGCCAAAGCTTTGCCGACGGCCGCGGCAGAAAAACGCTACGCGTTAGACTGAGCCTAGTAGCAACTTGTGGCGTTCGGAACGCTAAGCCGACCTTGTTTTAGATCGAGAAGTTAAGATCGCTAAGCTTTCACCTAATCGCTAAGCTCAGGTCAGTCCCAGATCGCTAAGCTCGGTTAAAGAGCCCGCCGGCATGAGGCGACGGCCTACGGCCGCCGCGAGACTACATTTTGTTACCTAAAATAATTTCTCTTCCTCAAAAATTGCTCAGAAACCCATCCAGTAACCAAAATCAACTAAAAAATCAAAAAAAAATGGACTCAGCACTCAAAAGTATCCTTAGATAATATTTTTCCCTAACTCCCCGTCAAATTTGGCCCTAAAACGGCCAAATCCCGAGAATCCAGGACCAAAAAAAAATTTTTACAAAAATTTCTCGAAAAAATCCAGAAAATCCCGTCATGACGCGTCATGATGACCGTTTCTCAACCGCCCTCTTCACACTCAGCATTCTCTCCGTCTTATCTCTGACCGAAATCGAAAGAGAAAACCTTTATCTAACCACCCTCCACCCAGTTCCCACTCTCTCTTTTCTCCCGCCAAACGAAGAAGGAAGCGGTTCTCTGCCCGCTCTCTCTCTTCGCCGCGCTCTTTTTTTGTGTTTTCGTCCGTGGAAGTCGGCGTTTTTTCAAAACTGGCACTTGTTGCACTAAACGTACCGAGAAAAAAGATACTAGTCGCGGCAAAAAGTCCTTAGAATTTTCTGCGACTCCGCACTGTGCATTCACCCGAAAACACATTTTGCACTGTGCAATTTTGTTGATTTTGCCTTATTGTCGCGCGCGATTCCCGCGACAAATCAACATTTCGGGGTGCGACGAGATTTGGGGGCCGCGAAAAATTCTAAGGACTTTTTGCCGCGACTAGTACAACTATATCCAAAATGACATGGAGATTCCGAATATGCAACCTTTAGACCGATTGTAGTTAGAAATTTTCAAGTTTTGACGGTTTTAAAAATTTTAAATTTTTTGGTGTCAAAACTCGCCGAAAGATTCTGCCATGGGGATTACATCGACAGGTGTAATTCAAGCGGCATCGTCAACCCAGCAAAATTCCCGAGGGGATGTTAGAGCCGGATTTTTGAATTTCGACCTTGTTCCCGAAATAATTCCACTTTCGTACAATAAAGTAAAATCCAAAAATTCTGTAATTCGAATACTGCCTTTTGACCTTGTCCGTATTTTAGGAATCGATACCTGTTTCTATAGCAGTTCAACGTGCTGAATACGATGGACGAAATTAAAATCCGAAAAAATTCCTTTTCAAGCCCTCAGGGCCGAATTTTGGCCGAAATTTCAAAATTTTTTTTCGGCCGCACGGTGCGCACGGAATATTGAAGGTAGAAAGCTGAAACTTGGCACGATGGTAGTTCATTTTGTGTCCTATAGCACCCATATGATCAATTTGTTCAACTCCGCTAATTGCCCTGAGGGCGATTTTTTTCGCACGGTGCACCAAAAATCGACCAAAATTTCCGGCGGCTCTGACGGCCGTAATTTTAAAGATACGAAGAAGATGTAAGCGGGTAATTTGTAGAGCTCTTCGAGCTCTACAATCTATTGTTGGACATTTTTGACATTGTTGTTGTACATCAGGGAGTGAAAAAGTCAAAATTTTGAAAATTTCGAAAAATTGCGTTTTCAAGTATGTAGATTTTCTGAAACGATGGCCACGTAGAATGTTCTGAAAAAATTTAGGGACTATCTTCGGGCAAAAAAACTAAGATCAGCGAGCCGTTTTTTCGAATTTCGATCTGGGAGCCAAGAACGATTTTTTTGAAATTTGCACTGTGCAAATCGTATTTTTTACAGTAAGCCATAGCTAAAATACGAAGTGCACTACAAAAAAGAAAGACACGACGTAATAGGAAGTCGGGTACGTAGAATTCAATGGAATCAAAAAAATCCAGAAAATCCGTCATCATGACGGGGTTTTCTGGAAGTGTAACTTTGTACATGGCCGTATCTACACATACATTGAGATATCTCTTAGTTATGAATTTGCTTTCCCGATATGGACCTGTAGAAGCTTGCATTTCAATATTCCCCGGTCTAATTAAAAGATACGAAAAAAGGTCTTTTTTTGAGATTTTTTTCGTAAAATTTGAAGTTTCGAAAAAATCTCGACAGTGATTGTCCCATTATGTACCATACGCGACGAAACCAAAAATCAAGTCGATACCTATAAAACGAAGCGAGATATGGTAGCTCAAAGTTTCGACTTTTCCTGACGTCATAGGTCACTCAAAGCTGAAAATTTCGAAATTTTTTTTCAAATACTCAAAGAGAGCATCTAAAAGAACCACCATGCCAAAAATCAGGTCAATCGGGGCAAAACAAAAGTATAACCACAAACCCTACGAATACTTGTATTTTTTTTTTAGAAATGCAAAAAACCCTTTAACCCTTTGAAAAGTGAGCCATAATTTGTCAAAAATATTGAAACACTCGCCATTTATGATGTAACATTACAACTGATCATAACGAATCGAAAAGCCAATTAAATTATAATTAAGAATACTGGTCCGCAAGGTTTGTTCAGCGGTCTAAAACCAACATGAAGGCGTATTTCTTACATGATACGCTTGAACCAACAAGTTTATAGTTTTTACTTTTTCGCTTCTAGGAAATGGCGATTCAGATGATCAAAAAAACGTAGAAAAAAACGTGTGTCTAAAAATATCAGTCTGTCGGGAAAATAATGTGGATTTTTCGCAACAAAATTTCCCTGTTTGTCAAAGGGTCGTCGCAAAAAGGTGATGGCGACGAATCCACATTATTTTCCCGACAGACAAATATGAAAGACAACTTGTCTTAGAAAGTATCATAGTGGGCGTAAAGCTCTGTTGATTTAACAAGGAAAGTACTTCTATGGGTTGTGGAATTACCGGTCAAGATATATATCAAAAAATTCGCAAAAATTTTCTGATTCAGAATATATAAAAATTAGCTGCCTAATTTTGGTCTGATGACATGTTTTTGTCCTCAGAAGTTTTCTCGCGACACAATGCAAGTGTCTTTTTGACCGTGTTTTTACCGATAAAAAAATTTTGTTTTGTGCTAAAATAAATTTTGAGGCCTTGACAAGCCTTAAAATATCAAATTGGATTACAACTACACCTTAAAAGTAGTTCCAATGTAAAAAATGGGTTCTAGTGTGGCAAAAAGAACCGAACCCGTCCCCTTCGGATTCCCAATCTAGCGCTCTAACCACTCGGCCACACCGCTCTCTTCCGAAGGAAGAGACCGAGCGCGCTTTTGTTGCCGCAGATTTTTTTCCTCGAGAAAAACATTTATTGATAAAACTCGTTAATAGACCAAAATTAGGCAGCTAATTTTTATATATTCTGAATCAGAAAATTTTTGCGAATTTTTTGATATATATCTCGACCGGTAATTCCACACCCCATAGAAGTACTTTCCTTGTAATGAAAAACGGTGGCGTAGGAAGTGAAGTTGACCTATGCGAACCTTTTTGTAAACACGCTATTTTTTCTTCGCAAACACTCCAAAGAAGATGACGGAAAAGGTCCAAGCTTTGATTTGAAAACGACAGTAAATTTGTGATTTTTTCACAAGGCCGGCCTATTCTTTTCTGTTCGAAATATATATGTCTTCGAAAAAAGTTTGGAAAGCGATTTTAGCGATTTGCTTCCAAAACCGGGGCGGTTTCATTTTTTCAACTTTATACGCGCCGGGCCATAAAGCCCGAAGAATTGCGAGTATCTACAAGTCCATCGGGAGAATAATGAACATTGCCGTGCCTTTGAATCGCCCATCATCGCTTTGCGACGGCTAGCCGCAGCTGGAAATTCGGCGTGCCTGCTCAGGCATGGCTCCGGGCCGGGTTTTGAAAAATTTCTCGGCCCGACTCCGGGCTTCGATCTTTAGGCCCGGGCCGGCCCGGTTTTTTGGAATCTGAATTTTGCCCGGAAAAAAGGAAAAAATAAGCTTTTTCGATAGAATTTTTCATTTTTTCGAACACACTGCTGATAGCGAACGTAAAGTGACCTTATGTACCTAGGTTTTGTTAAATTTTTCTTTACATTTTGCGAAAATTTGCCATAATTTTCCTTTCATTTCGCGCTTTCTTTCTTTCCAACCTAGTATAGAAATTTTCCGGGCCGAAGGCCGGGCTTTCCAAATTTTCCAAGCCCGGGCCCGGGCCGGGCCACCACTATTTTCCCGACAGACTGATATGGCCAAAAAGCATCAGTACTCTCTGTGTCGCAATAGAGCGCTAGCAGAGTACGCAGATTTCCCCGTATAGCGCGAGCTAAAATTGAAAGACATGATCTACGGTCTCGCGATATTTAAAGAAGACCTGGGCGTTGCACTAGGAATGCTTTCCTGGTAAGCCATTACAACCATCAAAACTCCCGGACTACATTCGACAAATCAAAACAGCTCCTCAAAACAGCCTGATACAACCCTTGCAATTCCGCTAACCCTGTAAAGGAAAACAAATAAATCAATTTATAGGCACGACCCCACCTTCTGACTTGTACGACACACAAGTTTCAAACAATCTACACATAAAGGTTACCACACGATAAATAAAAACATTACTCATGACCAGTTGCGTAACTGATTCGAGAACCCTGGGAAAATATTTATTTAAGCCGTTGCGTAACCTTTTTCCCGTGCAATTAAAAAAAAATATGACCTTTTTTGAGATTTGAAAGGA